TAAAATTTACAAGATATTATGATTTACCTTTGATGATATTTTTGCATGTTTAAGCATACGAGTATGTTCGTTTTTTTAAACATAAACAATTAATAAAAAAAATATCACGGTAACCTAATGGTGAGGACGTAGGTTCGAGATGCGCCCCACTTGTGAGAGTAGTTTTATCGAATTTCTTACCTAAAATATTATACGTAAAGTATTTTTGTTGTTATCAATTAAAACTGGACTAGACTTAACGCATACAGCACGTAATCACCAAAAGCTATTTCGCGTAGTGTAAGTATAATTTGAGAGGCTATAACTCCATATTTTAGTAACAAGTGCTGATAAAACTAAAACGTACATAATATAGGAATATATTTTTTTGTTGGTGACTATAAAATCTACCTGTATAAAAAATATTATAACATGGTTTGTGCTAACGTGTTTCTGGGTGGTGATGGTTACTTTTTCATTGTTTTAGATAACAGCATGCTTTATTGTGATGTACTGGCCAAAATGCATGATAAGTCTTCGGTTTGGTGTTATTTTTTGCGAGCTAAAGATAATGCTACTGCTAAATGCAAAACTTGCTACAAAATATTTAAGACGTTAGGAGGAAACACGAGTGGTCTTCATAAACATCTTAAAAGTATTCATAATTTAATATTATTAAAGGACGAAGAACGACCTGCAGCTTCCACATCTGATTGTATGTCTCACATAACTCCTACCAACAAAACCACAACTGAAGGTGAACCACCCGAAAAAAAATGTAAAATGACAGATTTCTTTCAAAAAGTTGACGGAATTGAAGTAAAAGTTTCGAGAATGGCTGCACTAGATGGAATACCATTTCGAACTTTCGTCGAATCTAAAGATTTACGGGAGCTGTTCAAAAAATCACAATATTCATTACCATCCTCTGTGACTTCGATATCTAAAATGGTTATTAAACAAGCCGACTACATTAAATCTCGAATGATAAATGAAATAAACAAATTGAAGTTATCCGGTATTAAATTTAGCTGCACCCTGGACGAATGGACGTCAACCCAAAATAAAAGATATATGAACGTTAACATTCACTCACCCTATTTTGATGGAGCTAATTACAAAAACCTAGGTCTTGTTAAAATAACTGGAAGTATGCCTGCTGTCATTTGTGTTGATTTATTAAAAAACCGATTGTCGGAATTTAATGTTCATTTAGACACTGACGTTATTAGTCTAACTACAGATGGTTGTAGTGTAATGAAAAAAGTGGGAAAGTCGGTTAAGGCGTATCACCAAAAATGTCTAGCCCATGGTATCCAATTAGCGATACTAGATGTATTATACAAAAAAACAAAAACTCTTACAGTACAAAATGACGAAACGCAAAATATTGACGATGTTAGCGATGACGATGAAAATGATGACGAAAAGGACGAAAACGGAACTTTTAACATAATTGAGAGTAGCAAGCTGCGAAGATATGAAGAAGTAATTTATGAACATGTGATCAATAAAGTGCGAAAAGTAGCAAAGTTGTTCAGGAAATCGCCCACAAAACAAACTATACTGAATAAATACGTGGAGGAAGACTTCCACAGAGAACTAAAACTAAAATAGATTGCAAGACGAGATGGTCCAGTTTAGCAGAAATGCTTGAACGTTTTCTTAAGTTAAAAATATGCGTTCGAAAGGCTTTGATTGATATAGGGTCTGGAATTGAGTTCACCGAATCAGAATATAGTACACTCGAGGCAATTTCAGATTCACTTAATATCTTAAAAGTCACATTAGAAGCGTTGTGTAGGCGAGATGCAAATCTATTAACAGCAGATACAGCATTAAATTTCTGCCTCCAAAAATTAAATTCACTACAAACTTCATTAAGCGTAAGCCTTGCCAATTCGCTGTGTACACGTATTAAGGAAAACAGGCTAATTGAGGCGAGTATTTTGCAATACCTACACAATCCTTCCAAATATTTCGAAAATAAGCTAGATCCAAGGGCATTCAACACTTTTAACAACGACGAGGTTACACTATCATTAAAACAATTATACGAAAGATTGAATAAAGTTACAACTGAAAAATCAATTGACAGTAATTATTCAGAGAATTCTAATGCCAATGATTTTAATGATATTGCAACTGCTGAGCTCACCTGTTTAACTGCTAAAGAACAGCTAGCGTGTGAGCTTGAAAACTTGCTAAAGCCTCAAAAAATAGAAACACAAACTAGCACCCATGACTTGCAAACGACTTTGCATGTAGAAAAAGCTCTCTTTGAGAACGGTGGTGACAGAGGTAAGCATTTAAATCAGTGCTATAATTATTTACTATCCATCCCCCCTACTAGTGTCGAAGCAGAGAGAGCTTTTTCAAATGCAGGGTACTTTTGTAACAAAATCAGATCCTCTTTATCTGAAAAGTCATTGAATGCCCTTTGCTTTCTGCGTGCATATTTTAAAAATGAAAAATGTTAATTTTATATAATACATTTGTTTTTTTTTTGTAATAGTTGATTAATAAAGTGCATAATTGAAACATATTGTTTTATTTGCCTAATTGTATAAACCTTGAGTATGAAACTTATTTAGTCTCGAAAGTCTCGTTTTTCCCGGGACTCCCGGGACCGGACCCAGTCTCGATTTTTTTTTCCCGGGACTCGAAAATGTATCGAGACTGGAAGCCTTACTGGACACGCATAGCTCGTCAACTCCTACCTACACAAACACTAATAATAATAACAAGTATCGAGCTTCTTACGGCGGGTGTCGTATACCCGACTATACGCTTCAGGCTTTTTCAGCTATCTCATATCGTTAGAATGAAAAAGATAAATAAAATGGCGTCCTGCCTACAATTGGTCACGAATATAAAATGAATAAGATACATTCGCTTTGCTTCGTCACTCGACTATGTAGTGTCAAGCCACGCTGGGGACTCACAGTCATGAACTACTTTTGGGAATACGGTAGACGATCAATTTGTACTCCAATGTCCGTCTGGCAGATTATTTTAAATCATTACACACGTATTCTTTATTTTCTCACAGAAACAAATACTATCGACGATATATTGATTTGATATATCGCGTGACGTCACTTCTATGTACGTTTTATACGTAGGAATGACGTAGCTAGCTCTCACTCCTAAACTTTGATTCGTTTTATCTAAGTATTGTTTTCTTATACGACAAAAAACATAACTATGAATATTAGGAGAAACTCAACATAAACAAATCATTTTTTTTATAAAACAATAAATATCTTTAAAACTACTGAATATTTTTCAAAAATTCGTTTTGTATGTTACAGCTGTATGTTTCAGGAACGTTTTAACCTGTAAAACATCACGCTATGATGCGTAGGGGCTTAGCAGTGATCTCACAAACATTACTACCCACAGGAAATTTGCAATTTATAATTAGAATTTATAACTACAGACATTATACATAGAAATAGTGACTTATATATAAAGAAATATTTACACGACGCATTTTTATATAATTATATATATAAACGAAACAACTGTTTCATTGTTCCCACATTAACTTTTCATTTTCAATTTATATATTACAGTTATAATTATACAATTATATCCGGAGATCATTTCGGTGACTCGAAATATTCAAATTTGTTTTTATACACCAGCAGATGAAACTACAGCAAGTTTTACAAAATTCTTAGCTTTATTGTTGTCACCAGTGCTGCTCTTGCCGCGGGTGTCTTGTACCCGACTAAGAGACTGCATATTTAACAGAGACCGTGCAGCAGCGCTCTCTGATACACCTGAACCTTGTATACTGCGATCTCCAACCCAAGCGTGGAGTCTGTAGCAAAAATCTAACATTTTCGGCGGAATTTTGACAATTTGTAGTACTTTCATTTGCTGGTATCTAGATAACTTCAATTTACTATTAACAGTATCCATATTGGATGCTATGACAATGGAGTTTTGTGTTTTTATACTACACTCGGGAGCAAACAATCGGAGCCACTAGCGTGTTTATTCATTGTATCGAACTTGTCTATAACTTTGATAATAAAATATTCATTTTACTACAAAATGCTCTCATTGTAAAGGTAACCAAATTGCCTTCTATACGACATACGTTACCAATCAATAAAATACTTGTATCAGGGAATATTGTACGCTAGTGGCGCCGTCTCCTGGCCCCCGAGTGCAGTGTCAGTAGCTACAGAGCTTCCAGCTGTCCTGGCAGTGAGCAGACACTAGTCCAAGTACACCTGCAGTACTGGAGCCAGCACGAGTGTCGCTGACCATGTAGGATACTGGTTTTATCAACAAACGGTTTCATTTAGCTTGCCCCGTGTGTTTGTCTGGGTCTGTAGTAATTGTATTTCACCCCCTTCCTGGCGACAGATCGATCTGATATTTGGTACACACTCTTAATCTCGATGACCATACAATAAAATCTAATTGTTTCCACAACTACCTCCATTACGGACAGGGCTTGATTGGTAGAATTTGAAACCGTTTAACATATGTTTATGTATTACTTGTTTATCATATATTTAGTCAACTTTAGTCTTTTCTCTATATCAAAAATGGCAGTTTTGTCTAATAGGGGATTTTGAAATAACCATTCTTTACAATACTTTGAGCGTTGCGGCAACCCCCTAAAGTAAATTAACAGTCAAAAATATTCGTATACAAAAAGTCAAAAATGTCCCCAAAAATGCCAATTTTTTATCCAGTCGGTGTGCACGTTAAGGTATACTTGAACGTCGGCATTACTGCTCGTCTGTTTGCGACAAACTCGGAAACTAATGAACGGGTGTTGATGCGATTTCCAACAAAGAATATAGTGTTGTTTACAAGTATGTATTTATGCATGTGTGTATGTAATCTCGGTATTTATTTATAGACTATAGAGCATGATTAAGCACACTGAACTCAATCCCTCAAGAAATAAAGTACAAAATCAAGTATACCTTAACGCGCCGCCACTTAAAGTGTAATATTTATCAGTAAGTCACCTTGTTAACCTAGGACTAGACTCAATTCTTCGTTGTAGGGGTAGCGACACCTAGATTTAACAGACTCGGGTATCGAAGCTGATTACTCATTAGGTACGCGAGCTGGCGCTGATCCATAGGCCCCAAGCTACTATAGAGGGCCATATAGGGCTCCATAAAGGACGACATTGGGACTGAATTCTTCTGTAACTCCGTTAGCTGGGCCAAGTTATGATTCTGATTGTGAGAATGGCCTGTGGGCGAGTCATCCCTGACTTGGTAACTGGGTATGTTGATGGCTGCTTTCTTTGTACTACTAGGGGGCGTATATTTAGGATAGCTCTCCTTAGGAGGCGTCGGAGTCTTAGCAGACATAAACTTGCCATTACTCGACCGCTTCTGCGGCGGTCTGTGCTTGCTAGGACTGGACGCTTTATTCACTAAAGTGATTTCTAAATTGGATCCTACAACCGCTTTGCCGTCGACCAAAGTGTAGTTTTTCGTTAGATTTTGCGGGGTGTGGTTTGGAGATGGGGATGGGGGGACTCTTACAATCTCCACGGCTGGCTTTGGAGGTGACGGGCTTGTGGATTTGCAAGTCAGGTCTAGGATGTCTTGGGGGATTGGTTGGGTGGGGGGTGCTCTTAGGGGTTTGACGGGGGCTCCGTGTAAGACATGAGGGGGCGGCATGAAGGGGTCTTTGGGTTCCCGTACACAGTTTTCTCAGGCCCCGTGTTACCGAATATTGAGGACGCTTGGATCACCTTTGGGGGTTGGACCCCGTTGGCGTAGTTCGGTATAATATTGTACATATGAAACAGTTGTGCTTGCGTCATGATCTGATGTTGTACAGTGGGGTTGAGTATGATGGGCGGGGGCATCATGTGGGGGGCGACCCCCTGCCAGGGGGGGAGGGCAGTGACCTCTAGGCCTCTTTCCTTGAGTATGTCCAGTTTCTTCTTCTTCACAGCTTGGGGACTCTCCGGGTATTCGTCTAAATCGATGATTTCTGGCGTCTTCGGTTTGTATGGGACCTGGAACAGCAAGTTATTGTCATATTAGAGATTTGTCCTTTAAAAAGACTGTGATAGTTTTGGATTTATCTGTAATTATTTTACAAAATATGATATGTATGTTTGTTTGTGGTATATATTATTTAATGATTAATTACCGAAATGTAATGCCAGTAAAAATCGATTGCAACGAACCTCTTGTACAACTGAACAATACGTTAACATGCGCAAAAAGATTACAAACTTGCGCATATTTGCGCAAACTGTTTGCGCAAAAACTGTTTATGTCAGTTTATGAAATATAATTATGTCTGTGTGTCTGTGCTTACCTCGACTATATCATCATCCTGCACAGAGTTAGTGTGTGGGTGTTGTATACCGAAGTTAGTCCTCGGAGCGCGCCCTGCGCCCGCGGACACATTCTCACTCGGCGGGGGAACTGGCGCTGGAACGACGATACATACATATTGTTACTGTACACTACCTTACAACGCTTTGTATGGCATCGACCGGTAACTGACGGACCACCTGATGGTAAGCAATCGCCGCCCGCATGGACAGTAACACTAGAGGAGCCAATAGTGTACTGCAGGACTATAGGCTATAAACCGGCCAATAGGAGCCGAGCAGAGCGCGGAAGTAGCTAGTAGATACTCACGTGTATGCGCGGGCGCGTGTGTGTGAGGTCTGGTCGGTTTGACTCGGACGGCGCGCAGGGAACTACGGCCTGCTGGACGGGATACCTTCTGGAACCAGACACGAGGATCACGTCAACCATTCGGGGACAAATATATGGGGGTAGGCAGACATTTATGGACCGCACATTGATACCATTCTCACATACCTATTTCGCATCATCGACAGTCATCAGTCTTTTCATGCATGCTCGTCGGTTAGGGGTACTTTTAATTTGGCCATTCTTTAATATATGGAGAAGTATTCGCTAGTAGTCGACTTCTGATGAAGAAGACATAGTCCACTACTGGACTGTGAGGCTGTTGATGATCTTTTTAAACATACATTGAGCTAACAATGATACTTTATACCGTAATACGATCGACTGACAGAAAGGCACTTCAGAAAGTGCCTTCATGAAGATTCAATAGGCAGTTTCGGAAGTGTTTGTCGAAATGACCTAGCTAGATCATTCGAAGACATGAGTATTTTGATTTTGTCTTTCTATCGGTTTCTCAGTAGAACGACAAAAATGCAAACAATATATTTGCGCGTTCATCAGTCTGTGTGGGTATGCTACAAGTGTATATGGCTACTACTATTGGATTTAATGCAGTTTTTAATAAATAGCGATGTAATGTAACACGTGTCAGTGACTCACCAAGTCGGTGGGAGCAGGCCCGGCGTGACCGTTCAATGGCGCCGCGCGGGACATGTCCGCTCCTGTACATAGTACACACAATACATCTTACACTGTTATATATACAGCTCATTTCAATTCATCCTTAATTAGGCACAAAATTGAATCGTCCGTCAGTCTGTCCGTCAGTGGCGATAGGTGTAGTAGGTCCAAAGCGTAGATAATCTTTTGAAAAATACACTACAGTCCACACTCACCCATACTATATTTCTGTAAGTCATTCAAGTAGTTCTGGCTAAAGTCCTTCCCCTCCTTCTGCCCCTCCCCCTCGGACACCTTCACCGAGGGCTCTATCAACTTCTCGACCGGCTTGACAGATATCTTCACCAACTTTTCTTCTTTAGGCAACGAATCAAGAAATTCTCGATTCAATTCTTCAGCGTTTTTGACTATTATATCGTCTTTGGAATTTATTTCGCCCGTCTCGCAGTCTATGTCCTGTTTTCCGATGTTGTCGTGTTCCAGTTTGGGGGAAGGGGTGCGAAGTATCTTGACGTCATCGTCTCTGAGGGGGGAGTCGGTGACGTCAATGGTGGCGATGGTGTGTGGTTCGTCTAGTTGGCCATTTTGTTTGTAAGAGAGGGAGATGCCGTTGTTTCGCTCGTGGTTCTCGAAGGGGAGGAGGAACCTGCAAGGGAATCGGGTTGAGTCGGTTTGTTTATTTAATTGTCATGTGTGAATACATGTTCGTGTATGTATAAGTCCAGTAGCGACCTCTCGTAATGTCTCCGTGTCCGCGCGGGTTGCTCCCTGGCGAGTTCCCTCCACAGCCGCAGGCGACACACTGCCTCGTACCCGCCGCGGGCCGCCACGGCCGCGTACAGCGCGCGGAGGGACCCTGCAAAGGCGACATATGCTTATAGACGCATTTTGAAGGAAACCTTTAAGGACTTAATAGCATCTACCGTCGGTACCAGCCAACAAAATTAAGCGAGTAACCGGTAGACTGGCAACTAAAGCTGTTCCTTCATGAAGAAGCCCCTCTGTGGATAAAACTAGTAGAGCTTTTCTCGGTATATTTACGTGACTTTAATAGTAAAAGTGCTTTCATTTATCGTCTGACCTAAACGTGAGTAACCCGATTTTACAATAAAATAAGCAAATAATTCCAGTCTTCATCAACTTCTCTTCAATTTTGGATGCACCTATAATAATTATATCAGTGTCATCTATAATATCTTAGGTCCTGAGTTGGTTGTCGCCAAAGTCAAAGCATTTATTTTAAGTAAGATTTAATTAGGCACTTTTAGACCGTCAAAATTGAATTGTCCGTCCGTCTATGTGTCAATGAAACTAGGTGGCAACTTACGAGTCACACCTAACGGTAAAGGAAACGAGTTAGTTTCAATGCTACGTCGAACCGATTTGGCAAAGGGCGTTAATTAAAATTGTTGCCTTTCTTTTTTCTGGCGGCAGTCGATGATTTATGTAAAATATTATCTAGAATGACATTACAAACGATTTTGTCTATGGGCTCATATATCAAAATCTCAGTCCGGACTGAGTTATGAGCGTTGAAAGGAGTTGGAGTCGAATGGAGTCGAACATTTTATTACCGACTTAAAAAAAAGGAGGAGGTACTATGGTAAACAAAAAAAAAACGATCGAAACGACGTTTTTTTTTATTTTATTGCTATTTTTATTCAAAATATTTATATTTTTATCACAATTCCTGACTTTACACTACGCGCCACTGTAGGCCTAGCACAGGTACACCATATCACACCACAATATGGATGATATGCCAATAATTTTTTTCACCTATTTTCTCTCAGTCGATAATTTGTGGGATGTTTCAGGGAGCTGTGTCATGATCGTACGTGAGCGTCAGCTGCGATACCAGTGGTGGGTTGAGTAGTGGCAGCCACCCAAACATCTAACAAAGTATTATTTTTTTAGCCGTTTACTTCTGACTGGAAACTAATCTACTTCATCATCATCATCAGATGGTTGTGAAGTGATGGACTATACGTCAGATGAGGGCACAATATTTTCATATTTCAGTCGAAGTATAATCCATCACTTTTGACGATATCTTTCTACAAAATGTTATGCTAACTGTAGGTTCTTACAATAGTTACTAGTCGGGAGAAGTCGATAGAAAAATATTTTTTACATGTTTTGACGACTGCCGCTACTCAATCCGCTACTGGAGCCGCAGTTGACTAACATAGCATTTCATTATAGGGCTCAGTGAAGTATTTTGTGGGTTTTCGACTGAGAGGAAATTGGTCATGAAAATCTTTCATAGGCAATAAACCGTTTAGTTTGGAAACCGTGACATATCTCGGGGGCATGTCACAGAAGTCATAAAGGTTCAATGTAAGAGAAAATTTCGGGCCAATAGTTAAAAATACGGCTATAATAAATCGTTATTATAGCCGTATTATAGCAGAATAAGCGACAGCAATGTCTATTATTGGAGTTTTATGGAATTAGGAATAATATCAATTACGTGTTTGAATTTGTGTGTGTAGAGCCGCGTTATAAAGCTAGTTACAAGACGGCAGCGTGAAGTTCGCACTTACAGGTTTCTATAATTTACAGAAAAATGAAAAATATTAACCTACATTTTTTTAAAACAACGCGGCTTTAAAACAACACCTTGTATATAAAGTGAAGACACTAGATAATGAAGCGATATGTTTTTTTTTACTTGGGCAGTGGCCGGTTAATGGTTGGTTAATTTGTTTAAATACACTCTGTTCAGATTCCGTAGATTTAGATAAAAAAAAATAAAAAGTTTACAATAAGCTTTATCATATTCCTTGACTTGAAATCGTTTATAAATATATTTTAAAATAAAATATTTTTGACATGTAAATGAAGAAATATGAGTTGTGTACGGTCACCATCTACAAAATAACAGGAATAATATGGCACTAATTTCACATCTTTGAACTGATTTAACTCGGTTTGGACTGTGTTTTTGATATAAGACCCCATATATTTTTTGTTTGTAATGTTATTCAGTTTTTCCACATCCAATCAACTGCCGCGAAATAATAAAAAGGCACCACGCTCCATACTAATTTGGTCATTGTCATTTATATCTAGAAACTTAGATAACCATTGTGAATGTGAGAGCCCTGTAATTAACTTAATATTAAATTAGACTAGTAGAATGCATTTGTGTCAGCTTGGAGTTGTCATGCTCACTCAAAGATCTCGTTGGCGGTGGCGCGTGCAGTGGATCGCTCGATTCCCTACAATATGGTTGAGTTGGGCGGTGCTGGTGTACGTGTCATGTTCGTGAACGGGCGCCGTCAACTGGGACTGGTCAGCTCCAGACTGTATTACTTATTGTCTTTAAGATTATTTTCTTTTTCGATCGCTTTGACTAGATTTTAGTGTTACATTGTTCTCGCACAATCCAAACAGCAAACTATGTAACTGGAGAATTGTATTGTGAACCTGATTGAAAAAGAGTAACCTATGGAGTTTCTTGCTCGTTCTTCTCCATAGGAATCTACACTTTGAAATGAGCAAATAGCTTCACTTTTAATTTTATTGTTGACGTTCAAAAGTGCCTTTTTGGTCTAATTGAAATAAATGATTTTGACTTTGACTTTGAAATGTTCATGAAAGTCTAGGGAAAGTTTAATAGGTGAGAAAAATATTTTTGGTGGTACGACGTTTGCCGGGTCCGCTAGTAAAATAATAAATAAATCAGCTCAAACGTCAAGCAAAAGGTTTTGCGTCGATTTGAGATGCTAGTATAAGTATTACATACATACATAACATCACGCCGTTTATCCCCGAAGGGATAGGCAGAGATGCACATTACGGCACTTAATGCTACTGTACAATGTAAACACCCACTTTCCACTTATATTTTTTCACGATGGCCGTATGGTCGTAAGTGCGACTGCCGGGCAAGGGGTCTCGGGTTCGATTCTCAGGTCGGGCAAAGTATTACTGGGTTTTTAAATATTCTCAGTAGTAGCACGGAGTCTGGAGTTGTGCCCGGTATATGGCAATAGAATCACTCCCTATTACATGGGACTCATAACATAAATAGTGAAAAGTGGGTGTTACATTGTGCAGTGGTATAATGTGCCTTTGCCTACCCCTTCGGGGATAAAAGGAGTGATGTCATGTTATGTTAAAACATTCTCCTAAGTGCAGCAAACACGAGCCGCGGAGGACCTTAAAGAAGTAGGAACGGGGTGATTTTAGTCAGTAAGAGTCTGACACTCCCTCTCGCTTCAACCGGGCGAGAGAAGTAATAGCGCGATGTACCCCTTCAAAAAAAAAAAAAGTTTAACAAACAGTTTACTGAAAACCGGATCAAATTGGTGTCAGCTTTTCGCAAGATCGTCACGTACAAACAAACATACACACATAGAGGTTATATCAAGAACCTCTTTCTTTTTTGAAGTCGGCTAAAGAGCAAAGTATACTGATACTCACAATTCTTCAAACTACGATCATTCTTGAAGGTTTCACAGCGGCTTTTATAGAAGGTCTTGAGCTGGTGAAGGAAGGCGAGGTCCTCAGGACTATGTTCCACTCGTCTGTATTCCTCATCTTCTTCCTCGCTTTGAGGACCGCCGCCGTTTCGGAGGGACAGGCGACGAGGGGTCTGGAGAGAAAAAATAAGAATCTAAATCCCCAAAAATCCTCAAACTTTTACAATAACTATCGTGAGACATACTAAATTAACTAAAAGCTCTACTAGTTTCGAACCACAGAGGGGTTCTTCCTCATGAGCAGCGTGCGCGGTCGCGGCGACGTCGCGCAGCTCACCGGCTGGCGTGGGCGCTCGCCTCGAGAAAGCTTTTCTCAGTATATTCACGTGAGTAACCCGCGATTTTAGTTAATCCTCAAACTCTTGTAACGGGTTACCGGGGCTCCGGCTCGACGTGCAGGAGTAGGAACGGGGTGGTTTTTAGTCAGTAAGAGTCTGACACTCTCTCCCGGCTCACCCAGGCGGGAGCAGTCATTCGATGATTTTCCCCCTTAAAAAAATCCTCAAACTCTTAATCCTCCAAAACGCCGGTAACGCACTTGTAACGCCTCTGGTGTTCCAGATGTCCATGGGCGACGCCGATTGCTTACCATCAGGTGATCCGTCTGCTCGTTTACCTGCTTAATAAATACCTTCGGAGATTAATGCTCAAACCTTCTCCGTGTGAGAAGAGGCCTTTGGGCAGCAGTAACCCCTTATAGACTGATGATGATGGGGATAAAATACCATCTTACCGGTGGATCTGAAGCAGTGTTAGGTCTCTGGTCATCTGAGTCCGATCTATCAGACGTGGGATCATGGTCTCTGTCATCCGGCGTGGTTGCCCGACGCCGGCGCCCCCGAGGCCGACCTTTTAGACGGGGCGCCAGGTGGTTGCAGACAAACTCATGACCTTCCAGTTCTGGGTACTCGAATGTGTCCTGGGAGCAAGGAGATGGGAGATTATTATTAGAAATACTAATACACTACTAAAATCATAGAATTAAGGACAAAGTATTATTGGGTTTTCAAAAAAATCTGTAGTAGCGCGTAGTCTGGAATAGTGCCCGGTATATTATGGCAATAGGCTCACCCCCTATTACATGGGGCTTATAATATAAATAATGGAAAGTGGGTGTTACATTGTACAGTGGCATTAAGTGTCGTAATGTGCACCTGTGTCTACCCCTTCGGGCATAAAAGGATGATGTTATGTAGATGCTCCCATGTAATATTGTAATAAACAGGAATTAAATTAAATTCTAAGCGAATGAAGCTACGTACGGGGAAGAGCTAATCTAATTCTAAGTCCTTATTTATACTAGACTAACGTTCAGTTCTAGAGATCTAGGCTAGGTTTAGTCTCTAAATGTAATACATATTTTAGGTATTAATACAGACCTAAGTACTCGCGTACTGAGATCAATCCAAAAAAACTTTGAGAATTTCGAAAATCGAAAATGAATTGTCCGACAGTCCGCGCTACCTAGCCAAACGCGTGTAACGAAACCATAGCGCGATCTATCTCGATCCCAACGCCATCTATCGAGCGCAGAGACAACTCCACGCGGTGTTAAAAAATACAACAAAATATTTTTTGATAATTTGATTAAATTTGATAAATATAGATTGTGTATTGTTATAAAAAAAATATATGTGTATTTTTTTTGTTATGTTTGTGGTAGTTATAGCAAGATTAAGTTTGGAAAGTGACCGGTATCCTATGTACTGTCTGTGTTGTGCACAAATTTATAAATAAACTAGCTGACACGACAGACGTTGTCCTGCATTTTATATAATAATAATAATATATTAATAGGTATAGATAAATAACCTATATACCAACTGCAGCGCCATCTGCCGTGCCGGGCTGATTTATGAATCTAAACCATCCAGGGCGCCACTCAAACGCGTACAGACAAATTCATTTAAATCGGTCAAGCCGTTTAGGAGGAGTTCATTGACATACACAAGTACAGCAGAATTATATTTATAAAGAAGATAAATAAATAAAGTTAGCTGTTGGATTTTAATGGGTCTTAAAATAATAAATATATTTTATTTTGTCATTTAACTGGTTATATTTATGAATGTGTAAGGTGCAGGGAGTATAAAATACTAATAAATAATAAATCGGTTTATTTATCTGAAATTACAGAATATTTGAGATAGTTTTTAATGTAGAGACCAGAACGACACTGTAAAATGCATACATAGTACATAACTTCACGCCTGTCTCTCACGGGAGTAGACAGAGACTATGGAAAGCCAATTACTACGATTCCTACATACCTCTTTCGCTTCATCAACAGTCATCAATCTTTTCATGCATGCTCGTCGGTATAAAATATTCACTAGTTATTTTTTTTTTAAGAAAATTTTAATTGGTAGAGATATTATTATATCAAAATAACTACCATATAATATGATAAATAAAAGAACTTTCTTTGAATATACCTCATATATAATTATTTTTATTCGAGTACACTTGCTTCTTATATTTTTACTAGCCACCCAGCTAACCACAGCAGACAGGAACATAACCCACCACTGATAACAGTGTGTAATAAACACAACACCCGGTCGATGTCGTCTGGTAAATATGAGGTACCAAGTGTTAATAATGTTTATGGTAATTGTTCAATGAAAAAGCATGTCCGGTACTTACTCAACCATTTGCCAAACGAAGCCAGGGAAGAGAAAAATAAAAATAAATAACAACAAAACATAACATCACGCCTTTTATCCTCGAAGGGGTAGGCAGAGGTTCACATTATGCCACTGTACAATGTAACACCCACTTCTCACTATTTATGTTACACTTCTCACAATTCCAAACTCCGTGCTACTACTGAGATTTTATTTAAAACCCAGTAATACTTTGCCCGACCCGGAAATCGAACCCGAGACCCCTTGCCCGGCAGTCGCACTTGCGACCACTCGGCCAACGAGGCAGTAAAAATAAATTTAAGACTAAATTTAAAAAATATCTGTTTAGCACACTACCATAACTAATGTATTTAAAATTAATTATAACCATTATCATAATAAATAGTAATTTAAAACAAATATAGAAAATCCAACAGTCCAACTAATTATATATAGTTTTGTTGGACATGGCGTTAGATTGTAAGGCATATCATGTACCTTTATTATTCTAAGGTATTCCCATTTTCTCGAAATTACAAATTTCAAAGTCAAAGTCAAAATCATTTATTTCAATTAGACCAGAAAGGCACTTTTGAACGTCAACAATAAAATTAAAATTGAAGCTATTTGCTCATTCCAAGGTGTAGATTCCTATGTAAAAGAACGAGCAAGAAACTCCATAGGTTACTCTTTTCCAATCAGGTTCACAATACAATTCTCTAGTTACATAAGTTTGCTGTTTGGACTGTGCGAGAACAATGTAACACTAAAATCTTTGGGTAATAATATGAAGTTCACGGGCCTAAACCAAGTGAACCTCATGGGGTACTTGTTTGGTGGTTTCTTCTTGCAGAAACTTCCTAACAATACGACAGGTGTTCAGAATTGCGGCTTTCTGCATGGTTGTGTATGTGTTTTTATGTAGGTCTAGTAGTTGGATACCGTGATGTAAGTTCTTAGGGATGACTTCCGTACTGGAGAGCACCAACGGCACAATATATACTTTATTCATTTTCCAGATTTTAACTATTTCTTCTTTAAGCTCTGTATATTTGTATATCTTCTCCGTTATTGTTTTCTGTAAGTTGTGGGTATTTGGGATGGCTATATCGGTAATATAATTGTAAAGAAATAATATAAATTTCTTTATTTGAATGTGATTTAACAGATGACGTTTATATGTCACCTGTCATCGGTATTTAAATAAAATATCCTAGAATTTACACCGCTCACGTATTTGTTGAAAAGAACAATAACTTTATTATTAATTTCATTAATTAAGTATTATAATTGTGATTAGGAACTGGCATTGTTAATAATAACATTAAATGTCGATTCTTTTCTTACAGGTTTGTAATAGTTTGTAACTTAATAAGTAATAACACAAATTTGTTAAATTTTCATATTTTATAAACAATGAATCTTTTCTTACAGAGAAACTCAATTGTGTTTAACTCACTGTGTCGTCCTAATCCTGAAATATCTTATATAATTATACTATTTTGTTAATTTTATCAATTAAAGTAATATCTGGTCGTTATTGTGTACAGTTTTACAATTGAAAGAGCTCTATCAAAGTATAGTGTGTGATTTGAACTCTCCAGTACAGGTTTTGGCGTATATTGGTAGTATGTCATGCACCTTTATTATTAAATAAATAAATAATAATCAAATAATAATAACACAGGCTAGTTTTTACGTAAGGAAAGTGGGCAACATCGCTGACAGAAGCTAGTACTAGTACGATATGATTTTTAATAATCATAATCAACTTTACAAAGTATATTAGACCTTAGCACTCACGTACCTAGATCATGCAAAAAAATACTGAGAATTTCGAAATCGAAAATTAGGTTGCCATAATGGCACCTTAACCCACTCTATGTGCGCTCGCGGCCGACACCCAGGCTAGCGCGTGTAACGAAACCATAGCGCGATCTATCTCGAGCCCAACGCCATCTATCGAGCGCAGGGACAACTCGACGCGGTATATTTTGGTAGTCCCTTACAGAGTGTAATGAAACTGGCATTCATACAAAAAAAAAATACGTTTGTAATTTTATTTTGTGTAGTTATATTTATTTTGACAATTACTAAGTTGAAACTTGGCTTTATTAAGTCAGTACAAGAATTAAACTACACTAATCACTACATAGTATAAAACAGAGTCGCTATCCGCCGTCTGTCTGCCCCTATGTATGCTTAGATCTTTAAAACTACGCAACGGATTTTGATGCGGTTTTTTAAATAGAGTGATTCTTAAGTAAGGTTTATATGTTTAATACATACATATTGCACCCGTGCGAAGCCGGGGCGGGTCAGTGGTATGTATTATGAATGTGAAAGATTCTTCGTTCGGATGTTTGTCCGTCAATAACGCTGAAACTACTGAACGGATTTTGATGAAATTTTGTGTACAGGCAGGGTATGGACTGACTTAGGTGATAGGATAGGCTTTGTATCCTGATTTAATGCTTCCATGGGATAAAACAGGATCCTACGTGGACGAATTCGTGAGCAACAGCTAGTAGGAAATGTTTTTAAGGTAGATCTTACAGAGTTCAAAAGTTGTCTATAAATTCATTTACAATCAAGTTAAGAGCCAACATTTTTAAGTGATATTTTGTAATAAAGCATGCAATTTTCTTGAGAACATTTTATATGGTTCAAAGTCAAGTCAAAATTAAAAAATCTGTATATAGGATTATAGTTTTAATATTAAATATCACTTAAATAATAAGATTATTCTACAATTTCACATGTTTAAAGTAAATTCAGTAGAAAATAATAACTTAATTTTGATTCGGGTATCTCTATATTCTATAACTTAATAGTAGAGCAATTTTAACACTTCTTTTCAAAAGTTATACAGTTTTAACCATGAGAAACATAATTATATGTTGACATAAGTTTGAGTTTTTTTTATTTTATATTTGACTAGCCAACGTCTGACCACTATCTCGCCTGGTGGCAAGCGATGATGCGGTCTACGATGGAGCACGTCGTCCCATAAGCAACCTATTCACTCGGGCCTTGAAGACTCCCAGGTTATACCCTTAAGGAAATACAGACTTTGGCCAAGAATTCCACTTTTTAGCAGTACGCACAAGGATGCTCGTTACCGGTATTTGTTATAAAGAATTTCTAGCGAATCCTGACATATTTCATCCCATTTAATATCACAGATCATATTTAGGCTTTACTTGTTCATGTAGAAGTAAAAAATTTATTTTTTTAGAGTCAACAACCTTTCTTTGGGAACTGCAATTCTTTCTGGTAGTATAATTAATTTGAAGTTAAATAAAAAATATATGTAATAGTATATAGTATTTAGTTTAGGAACCAATAAACTTTGAATCAAAACTACATATAGCTGACTGAATTGAGGTTATTTTACTTAATACATCTTAGATAAGACTTCAAAATAAATTAAAATTAATTTTAATGTAAATATTAAATGGAAAATTACTATATTTTATGAATGAAACCAAATTTATTTAAGTATGAAATGCTCTACACTGAGTAGAGTTGTCTCTGCGCTCGATAGATGGCGTTGGGCTCGAGTTAGATCGCGCTATGGTTTCGTTACATGCGCTAGCCTAGGTGTCGGTCGCGAGCGCACATAGCTCGGGTTAAGGTGCCACTATGGCAACCTAATTTTCGATTTTTGAAATTCTCAGATTTTTTGTATGACCTAGGTACGTGAGTACTATGGTCTTATAATACTTTAAAATTATAATAAAACTATGTATGTACTATATATTATCATGATTATGATGTATCAATGTATGAAATGCAAGCTATAGAGGGCGCCACGTGTATTTTAATTATGCTGTTTTTGCCAGCAGTTTAATAGAAAGTCTACTGTGTTGTGTTATTAGTTATTACAGACTATAATTTACCCCTGTTCCAAATCTCATCCCGATTCGTTCAGCTTTTTTGACGTGATTGTGAATCAACCATACACACAATATATCGCATCATTACATAGTATAAAACAAAGTCGCTATGTCGTCTGTCTGTCCCTATGTATGCTTAGATCTTTAAAACTACGCAACGGATTTTGATGTGGTTTATTTTTAATAGATAGAGTGATTCTTAAGGAAGGTTTATATGTATAATACACGCATATTGCACCCGTGCGGAGCTGGGGCGGGTCGCTAGTATATAATATTATACTAGCTAACCCGGCAAACTTCGTACTGTATTTTTTTTTTCTCTCCTTTTAAACCTTCCCTGGCCTTCCACAAACATTTAAAGATCAAAATTAGCCAAATTGGTTCAGCTGTTCTCGAGTTTTAGTGAGACTAGCGGTCGGAAATTCATTTTTATAGATAGTAAGATGTTATGTTATAATTGAACGACCAGGCATACCTTCATAGATAATATGGTTAGCTACCATCATCAACTATTTACCTTGCAATATAAAATCCTGGTATTCTTTGTAGGTGCAGCATACCCGCCGAGGGCAGCTACTAAGGAGTCCCTCAGCCAGGTCGCCTGGATGCCCTCTAACCGAGCTATGAGAGCCCTGTACCGGCAGTAGCGAGGGTATGAGAAGACCACCACTCCTGGAGCTTCGGCGTCCACTTCTGAAAGATGTATAGTACTTGAATTAGTGGTGATAAATAAAGATTTCTATATGTTTTGTAATATCTTGATATATTGACTTCATCTACGAAGTCCAAGTAAAAAACGGACTTCCAACCCCCTCTTATTTTGAAAGTCGGTTAATTAATTTTAGGGAACAGAGTGTATAGTGCCCTAAGATCGGAAAAGAAGGATCCTCCGACGATGCGAGGTGTTCGTGCCCGGCGGGCTTTCTGCCCAACAGTTGTCGTCGAGTCATCTCTACATCCCCGGCTAGGGACACGAGGACGCACGGTCCAGGCCGATGACGGTCTCGGCGGATTCTTTCGCTGCCTGCGCAGGCGAGGAGTTGGAATAGTCGGGCTCCTCCCCGATGCGGTGTTGAGTCCGGTGGTTTGCCCCGACACGAGCCGCTCTCTAGCCGGGCAAACCCAGCGAGCAGCAAGCTCCCAACAGTTGTTCGTTCAGATTTTTATCCGTGTTAATTCGCATGTAAACTTCACATGTGTGAGTGTGATGTACAATTTTTGTGACGTCATCCGTTGATTTGTTTCATCAATGGTCTATGTGCGCCACAAATATGCTAAAAACTTCTCCTAAGTGTAACCGCATCTAAATCGGCTTAGCCAATCCTAAGATAATCTCACGCACAATCATACATACATATAAGTCGAACGGTGAATCTCCTTTTTTGATGTCGGTTAAAAATATCATAAAATCACAGTTTTATCTTAATCAGTTGTACTATAGGTGGTTTAATATCTTACTAGCTTTGACCCGTGGCTTTGTTCGCATGTAAAAAATAGTTTTCCTCACGAATCACTGCCGGTGATTTCTGAACTGGAATTGGGCAGTAGCATTCTATACGAGCTTATGCTATCGGTGACCAAACTGCAATCCCCAGACATCCAGACCCGGAACAACAATCTATGGATCACACAAAGAGTTGTTCCGTGCGGGAATCGAACAAGCTACACGTTTCCCAGCCACCGCACCGTGCTCTTCACAATTATGGGCCTAGGTTTGTCCAGTATCTCAGCTGGTGGTGCACGATGATGCGATCTACGATGGAGCACGCCTACATAAGCAACTGAACGTATTCACTCGAGTCTTGAGGTTATATCCTTCAGAGCATATCTAACCGGCAATAATGTTCTGGTGTTCTGGGTGTCCATGGGTGGCGCTGCTTGTTTTCCATAATAATGTTTTTTTTTTTACATTTGATGGGCCGAATCCGACGTTCGGCCACTATCTCGCCTGGTGGTAAGCGATACTGCGGTCTACGATGGAGCACGGAAGCTATAAGCAACGTATTGACTCGGGCTTTGAAGACACCCGGATACCCTTCAGGAAACATAGACTCTGGCAAAGAATACCACTCCTTAGCAGTATGCACAAGGAAGCTTGATGCGAAGCGCTTCGTGCGTGTGGGTGGGACATATACCATGAATCGTTGACGCTTCGACGATTGTCTTGTGGGATGGTGATGATGGAAAGGACTAGTTGGAATCAAGTTGTGCAATTCCCTCACCGAAATGTGAAATGTTACTGAACTTACCAATGGTACTCTTCTCATTGTCAACATCGCTGAAGTCCAGTTTGCTGTGTGCGAGGGGAGCATGGCGGGGCATGTCGGCGGGCGGGGCGCAGGCACCGCGCCACACTGCGCGGAGCCCCCAGCGCCACTCCGTGCCCACACACATCCAGGTCAGCAAGTCTTCGGCTCGGAGGACCACCTTGTCGTTGATGGCTAGCACCTCGTCCTGGAATCAGAGTGGTGAAAGTTTTAGTACAAAGAGTACGGTGATTTTATCTTTAGACTAACATTAGATAATAGTATGAATGTTCTTTCCCGAAGTTCAAAAATATACGATAGATCAATCCCTTATTAATAAAAAGCACCCTCAATAAATTAAAAACACCGGTTTACTCATGTGAACTAATGAGAAAAGCTCTACTAGTTTCCGAGTCACAGGGGGACTCTTCTCCATAAGCAGCGTGCGCAATCCCGGCGACGTCAGGCAGCCTGGTCACTCGACGCTAGTAGAGCTTTTCTCTATAGTTCACGTGAGTAAACCCTTAAAATAAAAATAACCCTTCTTGGCAGTCAGAGGGCCTCTGATTGGTTGGTACATTGGAGCTGGCCAACCAGAGCGCTGAAAACGCCTCGTTTCGATTAGTTTAGGCCTTAGCAGGCCTTAAGTTATAAATATATCGATTGGTTATCTGCAAATGAGTACCGTTCCGACTTAAAACTTTAGAGATTTTCTTGCCAATACGGTTAAGAAAAAAAAATCATTTTATGACCTCCATATAGTCTTAGACAGAGGTGCAATAAATGTCATACTGAACATGGAGACCTCTGCCTCCTCCTCCGGATATCAAAAGACGTAATGTTGTTATGTAATTCATTTATTATAAACTAGCTACTTCCGCGCGGTTTCACACGCTCTGCTCAGCTCCTATTGGTCGTAGCGTGATATTTTATAGCCTATAGCCATCCTCGATAAATGCGCTATCCAACACAAAAAGAATTATTCAAATCAGACTTGTAGTTGCGGAGATTAGCGCGTTCAAACAAATAAACAAAAACCAAACTCTTCCGCTTTATATAATAGTATAAGATAAGATATTAAAAGTTTAAAAGTGTCTTAAAGCTCTGCCTACCCCGTTACTGTAAGGGTATATGCTGAGCTACAGTGTGTGTACATAATTAAAGCCAGCACAAATAAATCGGTGCGGGCAGCCGGCCCGAATTACTGGGGGTGGGACGGGGGCGCAGGGGTGTATTTGGAGTTCAGGGTTTTTTTATCCGGTATGCTATGAAAGTTAATTTTGTTATGTGGTGTTGATAAAAGAGGTTTTTAATGGTGTGGTTTATGTTTTATAATAACCATCGTGAGACATACTAAATTAACTAAATATCGCGGGATACTCATGTGAGAAAAGTTTCAAACCACAGATGCCGCAGCCACAATAGTAGGCTGCGTGACATCGCCGCGACAATGCACGCTGCTTATAAGGAATAGCCCCTCTATGGCTCGAAACTAATAGAGCTTTTCTTAGTATTTCCGAGGCCGATCAAGGCCCGAGTGAATAGGTTGCTTATGGGACGACGTGTTCCATCGTAGACCGCATCATCGCTTACCATCAGGTGAGATAGTGGTCAAACGTCGCCACACCAAATATAAGAAAAAAAATTGTTAAATAAACAAAAATCGTTTTATAAACTAAACTCTGCAATATACAGCATTTATTAACTAGGATAAGTTTTAGTAGTATTTTATAGAATTGGTGAGGCAAAAATACGTTTTAGAAGTTCAGTTCAGAATTTTGTGATTAACCTAAGAAGAAACTATTTCATTAAGAATTACTACATATTTTGATTTTATACGTTCAATCAATTGTTTCATCGCATTGTAAAGTTATCATTATTGCAAAATCTACATTTATTTCGGAACGTACAGCATGTACGTGTCGTATCTATGTATAAATATCGCTATTAATTTCTCTACGCTCGACATAATCTACATATGTGGGTGTATTTACTAATCATATGACAAAAACTTAATAATACTACCTATTAATTTTTAATTTTTAGTTCCTGATCCCTGTTACAGTAAAATAACAGTTCAAAGAATTAAAAAAAGTCAAAATCATTCAATTTAATTAGACCGAATTGGATTAGGTGTCGTCGTGGCCCGGAGGTTGAAGACGCCAGCTTCTCATGCACGAGGGTGTGGGTACGAAACCTACCAACGGCAACTACCAATGTGACATTTTCCGAGTTATATATACTTTCTAAGATTATTTAGACACCACTGACAAACGGTGAAGAATAACATCATAAGGAAACCTAGGCTTATAATTTCTAATTTTAAGTTTGAAATGGCCAACCTGCATTGAGCAAGCGTGGTGATTAATGCTCAAACCTTCTCCACCCTTAGCCTGCCTATGGAGGCACCGAGTCCTCTTAAAGAGACCTGCTCTGGAACCTCCACGGTGCAACGCCTGTTACGACACATCCCTAGGGACCATCATCCGCCTAAATTTTATTTATCGAAGGTAAAGTTGCAATTTTTTAATTGAACACCCACTGTCCATCTTTTAAAATAAATTCTACAATACGCAATACACCTATATTTGTCACTCGAAAATACCAATAATACGTTGTAACTCACGAATCGAACCTTCTCTTACAGCCAGACAGGTACAATTGCTTGATCAATCAAGCAATTGCATCGTTTAAAAACCCTAACACAAAAGTCAAATCATTTCAATTTAATACACAAATAATTCCTTAACAAAAAAAAATGCACACAAAAAAATCATGAATCAACTCAACCCTGTTTCCCAAATCCGACCCTGCACGGTTCTAAATGAAGGTGAGTGGTGGGGGGTTGAACTAAAATTGCTTTCGAATAAGTAACCGACCCCCAGATATTTAGGAGAGGGGTCGCGATACCGGCGCGATCTCGCAACGATACCGTACGAACACACGGGTGTAATAAACCAATATATTATGATCTCGCTTTGAACGATCTCTCTTCCCATTCAACGGCCAATTTATACTGGGAGCAACGAGCTATACATAACCACTTTATCATGGTCTTGCTTTGTACGATCCTTCCGCACTTTCGACGTCCAACTTATACTGGTTTCGTATAGTTTGATGTGTGCGTCGGCGTCAGCTGATTTCGATAGTCAGCTGGTTTTGAAAGGTCGATGTTTTTTTATGTTAGTTTTTTTGTTTTGTGGGAGTTTTTATTTAATAGAGGGGGATTTTTTGATTAGAAGTGGCTGTGGTTGATTGGTTTAAGTCAATAATTCATTATCTTACTGTTTTATCCTTACTAATATTATAAATCTGAAAGTGAGTTTGTTTGTTTGTTCCACCTTCACGCCGTAACTACTCAACTGATTGCTTTGATTTTTGCAAACGTAAAGTTAGAAGTCTGGATTAAATAATAGGGTACTTTTTATCCTGAAAAAAATTGATATTCCCGAGGGAATACAAAAGTATTGGTATAGATGGCGCTGTATGTATTGGTATATGTCACATAGGCTACTTTTTATCCTTTTGTGACGCGAGCGAAGCCGCGGGTAAAAGCTAGTATATTATAAATGTGAATGTTTGTCTGTATGTTTGTTACTCAATCACGTCAAAACGGCGGAAGGGATCGGGATGTAATTTGGTAGATTATGGTTTGGAGTGACACATAGGCTACTTTTTATGCCTCGGGAACGCGGGCGAAGTTGCTGGCAGGAGCTAACTACATTAATATTGAATTCAAGAAATAATTGTTTTATTACAGTAGTACACAAAAGGTACATAAAAGACGAAACGTAATTGTAAGGCACATAACAAAATATGAAGCTTTAATGAATTATTCTAGATTAATACCAAAATATAATAGAAATTCAAAGATGGCCGCCGCTCCAGAATACGGCTCCGTGTTATTTTAGCCCCTTCAAAAGAATGTTTAATAGTAATTCGCAATTTTGTTAATATACCCTTATTCTGCGGGTTTGCTTGGGTTTTTTATTTTGTTTTTTTATATGTGTTAGATAAATTAAATATGTATGTGTTATAAGTTTTTTATTTGTTGGTGGAGTGAAGTTTATCGTTATGGCTGGGTTCGATTCCCGCGTAAAGATAATTTATAAATTTTAATTTAAGGAATAAATTCGAATTCTGCTTTGAAATATGAATGTTTTAGATTATTTTTTATTTGTTGGTTGAGTGTGATGGCTGTGTTCGATTCCGGAGTTAAGATTAATTTATAAATTCAAATATAAGGAATAAGTTACAATTGTAATTAACATAACATCACGCCTTTTTATCCCCGAAGGGGTAGGCAGAGGAGTACATTATGCCACTGTACTTACAATGTAACACCCACTTTTCACTTTTTAAGTTATGAGTCCCAACTCCCATTTAAAGGGAGGGTGAGCCTATTGCCATATACCTGGCACAATTCCAGACTCCGTGCTACTACTGAGAATTTTTTAAAAACCCAGTAATAGGTACTTTGCCCGACCCGGGAATCGAACCCGAGACCCCTTGCCCAGCAGTCGCACTTGCGACCACTCGGCCAACGAGGCAGTCCTAATTCTAATTCTATCGTATTTAAATTTTCTATTCAATTTAGAAATTCGCAATAATTGTATATTATGGTATTTTGCTTTTCTGTAGTCGCTCCCCGAATACGAAGGTAATAATAAAATATAAGTATGTGGCAAAAAATGGGTGTGGTTTTGGCCGAGTATGGCACCCCATCGGTTTGTGTAGATAGGTAATTAGGTAACATAATAAAATCGTAGAAAGATGAAACTGTTCTAATACTTGGATCGGAATTTACAATCGATACCGCAACCAAAAATATGGTTTTTAGAATTTTTGTCTGTTTGTCGGTATGTATGTTCGGGCTAAACTTGTGTAATTGTAAATTATTATACATATAAACCGTCCTTAAGAATCATTCTATCTATTAAAAAAGACCGCATCAAAATCCGTTGCGTAGTTTTAAAGATCTAAGCATACATAGGGACAGGCAGACGGCGGATAGCGACTTTGTTTTATACTATGTAGTGATTTGTTGACGTTTCAAAAGTACCAAATTATGGTTTAATTTAAATTTTGACTTTGATTTAAGTAAATATGTTTTTGTACCGACGGAACCCTAATCCGAATTAATATTATGTACAGAACCCAATTTCTAGCGAGCACAGCGCATGGTGTACGTTTACAATTAAATTTAACATAA